TACAAAGGCCAAAGGAAAGAAAAATGTGAAAACACAGGTTATAACATTAAGGAATGCCTGATATTATCATTCCACTCCACTGCAGCTTATAGGTATAATTCCATCTCCATCTTTAATTCTGTTCTAGGAGTCTCACTTGTATCCAGATGAACTTACATTTTCAGTAACTCATCCATTGTCTTCTATATTTCACCATGAAGCAAACTTTTTTACTCTGTGAATTAAGTATGATCTATTCCCCCACCCTCCAAAGCAACTGTAGCTCTCCAGTTCAAGTCTCAGGCTTGCAAGCCTCTGAACTGACACCTGCAACAAGGAGTTAATGGCTAAGTGCAATCCTTCAGGGTTGTAAGGATTACTGTCAAGCACCAAGTAACATGGAAAAATACATATAGCTACTGGCAATAATGAACCAGAGTCTGCAATGTCAACCAGGACATTGCTCATAGCAGTTATTCCCAATACTGGATACTCAAACACTATGCAATTTGCTTATGAGGAACATACTGGAATCAGGACTGCAAGAATTTGAGTTCTCACGGAAGCAGTTGCATTTATTCCATGCAAAAACGCTGTATAAAGAAGTACTGCATTTTCAACTATGTAATAAGCTTCCTGATGTGCCACAACATTCCCGATTTGCAAAAAAAAAAAAAAAAAAAGTATGCTCATCACTAGCATATAAGTTAAGCACATAGAGCTATAGTATTGCAGTGTATGTAAACTCAAAAGCAAAGCAGTTTTGAAAAGCAATGACAATGGGCACAATGGAAGCAGCCTAAATGTGAGCCTTTTTAAGAGTAAGGAAAGAGGGGAACCTCCCCCGCTAGGTCTTATCTGCCCACATCCCTTAGAACAGTCTATCTGCTACTGAATGCCAAGGTAGTTCATTTACAATGAGCCACCTTGTACATAGTCAAGCCAACTTTCAATCTAGAGTTTTTCTACATCTGCAGTCATAATGCTGAAATAAAGGCTCATCTAACTTTTTCTGCACTGTGGAAGGCTAACCTAAAAGGCTTTTACTATAGTCAGTCAGAATTTTGTTGTAACTTAGAATCCAAGCTTTTATACATTTCTACTAAGAAGTAAATTCAACTGAGTTCAATTGGACTTACCCCCCTATGTGAATAAGACTTCAGCCTAAGTTATATCTAGACCCCAAACCCTTTAGAACAGGGGTAGGGAATATGGGGCCTGTTGGGCTCCAACTCCTATCTCCAAATAGCTTGAGCAATGGCCAGGGAGGATGGCAGTCCAACTGGAAGGCCATGTTCCTCTCTTGTTCAAGAGGGATGCCATTGCACTGTCACAGGCTCCTCAAATTGACCAGCACCCCCAAAGGTGGTCTTTGATAATCATCCAAGCTGTTATTGCAAACTATGCAATATTCAACTGGAATTTACAGGCATAGGTATCTTTACTACTTTAGCTATCCAAGATACATTTTAGAAAGGGTATATTCCATGAAATGTTTTAAAAATCTTTAAAAAATAGAGAGGATTAAACTGTTTGCTGCTGCTTTGACTTGATGTCATACTTTGCCTAAGGTTTTCCAAAATGTTCTTTACTAAGACAATATAAATCAATAATGTTGTCCAGATGCTAAAATTTCCTTTCAGCTCTTATTCACCAAGTAAGAGTTGGTCAAAAATGGTTGGGGGAAGACCTCTTAGGATGGCCCATGCACGAGGCAAGCAAGTGGGTGGGTGTGGTTAAAATTAAAATTCTAGGTTAGACAAATTGACTTGATTAAATTAGCTTTGGTTAGTGAAGAGTCCAATTTCCCATCATGCCTTAACTGGATCAGTTTGACAACCACCTTACCTTACCTGAGTAATAAAATCACTCTTCAGTTACCTCTTTTCCAGTACACTGAAAGATTGAGCGCTGGGGCTTCTCTCAACAGTCTCTGTATCATTTATGCTCTTGCATAGCATGCGATTAAACGTTTTGGTTTTGATAGATTGGACTGTTTAATACTGATTCAAGTCTACTTTCACTTGATCTCAGCAGTTTCATTTCTCATTTGTTAATCCTTCATATCTAGATCTCATTTTTCTTTCAGCACCTCTCTGTATGTTTTATTAAAACTAGTATAAGCACCTCTGTCATGTCAGATTGTTCCAGCCAATTTGCTCCAGGTATGAGAATCAAAGGCATAAATCAACAATGAGAGAAGTTTGCCTATTGCGGATTGGATTTCTCATTAAAGTTAACTGAATTCCATTATGTGGATTGTTGGCCACGGACTGTGCAATTTTCATGTACACAATACATCACAAAGAAGTACCGCTACCCTCAAGCTAGAACCAACCACACGGAATTTTTCAGAAGTACTTAATGTTGGCCTAGCTTCATTTATGTTAAGGTCAGTAAAAACATGTTGGCTGCAGCTTTAGATGAACACTCATTACTGGAATAACTACACACCGCAAATATTTTCAGTTTATCAGGGTTCTAAAGCACAAATATCCCACCACTAATATGGATTCTTGTTCATGGTGCATGAGCTCCATAGGCTATTATACCTACATGCTAGGTATGTACCCTCCATGTTCATGAGCTTGCTCATGAATGTTACTGCTTGTGAGGAGGCAGAGGGGCTCACCCCTTTTCCTGGGGCCTTTCACAGAGCAGGGCCAAAGACAACAGGGCGAGGCTAGGAATCTCTGTGGGGAGAGCAAGTCACGAGAAGGCAATGGCCAGGGGATGCAAGCAAGCACGCAGCTGTACGGGATTGCGGACCGAGGCAGGAACAGCTGGGATGGGTGGAGTGGCGCACGAGGAGGTGGTATAAAGAGGAGGCAGAGGAAGGAGAAGGGGAGGAAGAGAGAGAGCCGGAAGAGAGGAAAGAAAGCCAATAAAGCTGAAACCCATGAGTGTTTGGAGAAGAGCTGGTGGGACTGTCACTGGCAGGGATAGAGAGCGTGCAGTTCATTACCATAGCGACAGGAGGGAAAGGAGCCAGAGCAGGTGAGTCGCTGAAACTGGGGAATAAAGGCCTGGTGAGTGCACTGCCTTTCTTGCGTTGCTCTTCATGGAAAAGCAAGGAAGGGGCGGCTTTAGCTTGCACCCCACTCCTGACTCAGTCACACTGCCATTCCACAGAATATGTTTTATAATACCCCAAGAACTGAACCATTTTCTCCACTGAATTCTTGACAAAAAGCTCTATGAAGTAACCAATGACTTTCTTCCTTTTCTAAAGTTTTCACCACAATTACAGTTCTCAGAGTTTCTGGTCTTCTCTTATCACATCACTCACACGCGTACATGTGTATAACTTTCAAGTTGATTTGAAAAATGGATTGGACCCAAAGATTCCCCTCCTCAAACATTAAGGTTCCTTCCATCAGAGGAAACTTTTGAATCCAACTAAATGTTATCTACCCATATCATCTGTAGAAAGTAGAGCTAGAAACAGATGTTAAATAAAAACATGCTCAATTCTCTTCCATTCAGAGAGAAGTTATAATACTTTCCCCTGTAATGGCATGGCTGCAAACAATATCCTCAGCTTAATCTCAAAGCCCTACAATTACAAATGATATAGAGCAACTGGCCCAGAAGTATCCCCTCGCTCCTCTCCAGAGCTGTGGCTCTTCCCATTCTCATGGGTCAAATATTACCATATCAAAATGAGTACTTCCATTTTTCACTTAGTGTGATGCTCTCCCCCTCAGCATTTTGCTGCTACTTCATTTATAAGCATCCTTAGAAAAAGGTAGACATATAATATATAAGGACAGGCTGCTTACCATTAACTAACATTTCTGAGTGGTTATCTGTGAACTCAGAACTGTTATTCAGAACATTATCCGCACAAAACCCTTATCCAGAATATTCTAAAGCTGAGAAGAGCTTTAGGAGAGAGCTCTGCCCACCTTCCTTTCCATATGCTTCAGGGCATGGCTGTTGCCTCCTGCTTGGTTCTTGGAGCACTGCAGCTGAAGAACACATTCAAAGTAAGGCACCAAAAGGAGGAGGAAGGTGGGCTTTGTGAGTTCACAGATGACTACATAAAGAATGAGTTACTTATAAGCAACCTGTCTGCTTCCTTTGTAAATGTTTAGCACGAATACTTAATGGAAGGAGATCCAAACTTTGGAGAAGTCAAAGGCTGCACCTAGATATACTATGCAATACAACTGGTAGTATTTGATGAAAGTGGAAGGAGGGCTGCACCCAGGTTCTTACACTGCATAGTTGGAGAAGAGGAACCCTTCAGAAAAGACCCAACAGATGATAACCTAGCCTCAGTTGAGTTTCTGCAAGAACACTGGGAAGAATATGAACAAGTTGAGCAGTATCTTTTGGCAAAACTACAAAACACAGAGAACATTCTGATAATCACTGCAGCAGATAAGGAACCAAATGGGAAGTGGGAATTGTGGCCAGAGGGTGCTGGGTAATGTTCCCACCTAGAGCTCTGCTCCATTCCACAATATTTCATATGGCAATAGCATACTCCTATGTGGGAGGAGTTACTGAAACATTGAAGAAAAAATAAAACATTATGAATGTATCCTAAAGGACAGACCTTGAAAAAAGAGGAACACAAAGAATACCAGGTGTAAACCTGTTGCTGCGGTTCCTCAGCACTGTTCTTATATATGGCAGACAGTGGTAAGTCAATTGGTAACAGGATTTCTTTAACCTCAGCAAAGTATTTGTTAGTTACACTTGAGCCATGTAAGAGAAGGTTTTCAAATGAAACAGTTGTCTAATATAAAAACAATTTGCAGATTCTTGAATCAGCCATAACCGTCCTTTAACACTGTCGGTATATCAAATCAGCATGGAACCAGAGAGATATTATTACATGCTGGTGATGAGGCATCAGTGTCCAGTGATAAGCTGCTTCACTATTACCATCAGGATTTGAGTTAAACGTTGGTTAATGCATAGCCACACCCTAAGCTTAATATAAAGTCGCAATATCAGGGATGAAGTTTCTCAGTAATTCGTAATATACAGATTTTTTTACTCTTCAAATGTGTCTTTACAAATATATATATATATTTATATATTTATATATTTTATTCCTTTTCACGTCATAAAAATTCCTAAACACATAAACCAGTACCTTTTTATCAAGAAAAGCTGCATTCTACAGTCTGAGATGAAAGAATCTTAATATGAGGGATGCTTTGGCGCGTCTCGGAAGTTCTAGCACTTGGAACATTCTGCCTGTAATGAACCATTTAATACGAGGTTCCATTTTCTCTTACCGAGATGAACTGGAATCAGTTATACAAAATTCTGTGATGTCTTAGAAGAGGGTAACACAGTTTGAAAGCAAATTCCCCCCCACACAAGAACTGCTGTTGAAGAATGGAATTGAAATATACTAAAAGGTCACTTGTGGTTCCAACCATATTGTGCTGTCGTCTTAAAAGAAATGCAACTGATACCATAAAAAAAAATAGCTAGTCAAACTACAAACCTGAACACCAAAACCAGTCAAATAATTTTAAATATTTTGATGCTGCAACACACACAAGTCTTTTTGGCTGTGGGTAGGGAGAAAAGAGAATTACTTTTTCCACTTTAGAGTTTTACAAATACACCCCCATATGTGTCTGTTCAAACACCTCTGAATTAAGTTTACATCTTCTTTAGCAGTGCCGTAATTCATTCAATTCACGTTCCAGTCCATTATACCTTCATTTCAGCAATTCTTTCTCTATTTCCACATAAGTGATATGTAAAATAAAGCCTACCCTTAGGAAAAAATAAAACAAATACAAAACCCAGAATATTTTAAGGCACAGTGATTTCAAAGATCCTCTTCTAGCATTGCTTTTTCACATGCTTGTTCCCTGATCCTAATCACATTATGTGGAAAGTCCGCTGAAATCTGTGGAATTTACTGATTCCAGTAAATTCCAGGTAATGCATTTTAGATTGTAGGGTGTATAAATAAACACGTCATTGTTATGGGAACAGAGTGCCTTCTTCCAAATACTGTACGTATGCCTAGTGTCAGACATAGGCTCCCAAAGCTGCATGAAATTCAGTGAGGCACTGCACAAGCTGCTGGAATTTGGGTCTTTCCTCAGGATCCAGTGCCCAGCAACAAGCCATCACAGCAAATCTATAAAATAAAAAAGGAAAGATTAGGTCAGTATGTTATAATCATTCCCTTCTCATCCCAACACACTTTCAGCACATAAATTACTAGTTCTTCCTTGAATTACTCATCATCTGTATTAAAGTGTGCTGTGAGTTCTTTTCGCCGTGCTAATACATGAACAGTCTAATACATAAATGTCTAGTCAAAGTTGAGGGTCTTATAAATAGGGAAAGGCTTTCCTCCCATTAACTATTTGGACACCTGGACACCAGAATTTGTAATCTATGAGAGGTGATATCAAATCATGAGTAGAGTTAATCTTTTAAACGAACAGATTATTTTTCAAACATTTTCATCATGAGAACTTCTCAGATTTTAAGTTATGTATTTTTATCCCAAGTGTTCATCTATTTTGAAATATTTAAATATTAGCAGTTCTTCTGAGCTATTTTTAAAAGATCCACTTAAACATTGGCATGTTTTGATAGGAACAGCTTCACCAAACTCATACTCATTTTACTGCAGACTAAGAAAACTGGTGTTTTCTGGGAAGAATCTGACAGAAAAAGAAGTGATGGGAAAATGCTACAAGTAGAGTTTTACGAAAGATTTTAAACTGAACCCCATAATCATATTACTACACTGAGTCTGAGGATTTATTTATACTCAGAAATGTTAATCATATCTTGGAAGTTACTTGTGTGTGTGCTGCATGAGAAAGGGCTAAAGGGCTTGTGTGAGATATGATTATCTTGATTTAAGGTGTGAGATTACACAAAATAATGACTTCACAGGCTTACAAGCAACAATCTTTTTTTAAACAGTCAGAAATTTTTTCCAAGAAAAATGGTCAAAGGAGTGGGGGAAATGTTTCATTAACCTCTTTGGAATACCATTATTATCAGCATGATAAACTTTTAAAACTGAGAACAAAGTTATTACCTGCTTCCCTAAACAAGGAATCAGGAAGTATTGAGGAAATACTTTGACAATGTGTGGAGGGACAGACTCTTATTTCATGGAAACAAGACAAGTCAGTAACTAGTCATGGAGTGACAACACCAACAGAATATTATAAAGATAGGGTGCATTTTATCACAGACTTAAGAAGCAGGCAAACATTCCCACATTAACCATATAATAAATTGGTCACCTGCATCCACCCAGTGCTAACAGCCAGCAAGGTCCTCACTGACATATGATTACTGCCTCTTGCAAGGAACAGATCTTCAGTACATTTTGTTGGAAATTCCATTGGGAATTCCACGTTCACAAGCGACAGCCATATTAAACTTGGCTCTGACCCTTACTGGGTCAAGAGCAAGAACTGGTTACCTACATTTAGTGTATTTAACATGGTTTTCCCTTGGCTATAGTCTTTTTTTAGGTTTTCTTCACTATCTATTCTATATTATCAAGTCTTTAAGAAAGATGGGGACTAGAATTCACAATATACACACATACACATATATTTAACAATCACTAGTAATGCATCTCACCTTTCACACTCATAACCACCATATATAATTCAGTGTATATATTAAGAGCCTGTTTCAGTTCCCTAATCTTAGTATCTACCTTTTGCCATAGCATGCAGAGGCACACCCATCTATTCAGAAGAATACAGGAAACTCCATTATACTGAGTCAGACCATTGGCACATATAGCCCAATAAAGTCAACAGTGACTGGCAGAAGCTCTGCAGGGTTTCAGGCAGGAATTTTTGCTGCCCTACCTGGAGATGTCAGGTATCAAACCCGGGACCTTCTGCATGCAAAACATGTGCTCTACTGCAGGGCTACGGCTCCTCAAGCTCCCAATGTATTTCATCCCACTCAAAAGCAAGTTCCATCTGAGGTAGATGTCATGAGTAAACCTGGACTGTTTGGGGACAGGAAGCAAGCTATATCAGCCCCATCCCATGTTTCTATTCACCATGTATAAACCAACGAGTGGGCCTCTATGTCTCTAAGAGGAAAGCAGTTGCATCAGTTAAAAAAAAGAGGCATTTATTTCTTTGAAAAATACAATTAGCTGATCAATTTATTTAAAATGCTATGGGTTAATGAAATGGTGGTTTAAATAGTTAACTTGGACTCATAGATCTTTCTGGAGCCAAGCTGACTGAAATTCAATTCTTATTAGGCTCACAGTGTTGGGCTGGATCAATCATCTAACAAGTGAAACATTCTGCTTGCATTGTGGCAAAGCAGCTGTTTACATGATCCCTCAAACAGGATGGGTACAGCATCTCCACCTGCTCAAGCTCTTCACAACTGGTGTCTGCAAGCATGCCACCAATGGTAATGAAGGCAATACACAGCCGGCAAGGCTAGTAACCACTCATAGCCGCCTTATCCTCCTCCATAAATTTGTCCAGTCCGTTTTTAAAACCATCAAAGTGATAGCCATTACTATATCTTGTGGCAGGGAATTCCATAATTTAACTATACATTGTGCAAAGAAGTACTTCCATTTATCTGTCCTAAGCCTTCTTTCCACCAATCAGCTTCATGGGATGACCACATGTTCTAGTAATATGGAACAGGGAGAAAAATGTCTCCTGCTTCACTTTCTCTACATCATGCAAAAATCTAAACACCTTTATTACATTTCCCTTTACTCATCTTTTTTCTAAGCTAAACAGTCCCAGCTGTTGTAGGCATGCCTCAGAGGGCAGCTGCTTCAGCCCCCTAATCATTTTAGTTGCTTTTCTCTGCACTTTTTCCAATTCAGTAATGTCCTTCTTCAGGCAAGGCAACCAGGACTGCACACAATATTTAAGTGTGGTTGCACCAAAGATCTGTGTAAGGAGAGTACAATCTTGGCAATTCTATTTTCAATTCCATTCCCAATTATGCCTAAAATGGAGTTTGCCTTTTTCACAGCAGCTGCACATTTTCATCCAACTGTCCACCACAGCCCCAAGATCCCTATTATTATTGTTCTAGTTCATTCGTACTTTGAACAGCTACTGCAGTGAAAGGAAACTTCAGTTAAGAGTGATGCAGAAGGTACACTTCTTTCTTACACTGCAGTTTATTAATTCTCACTGACAAATAATCGATAGTGTTTTCCAGCCACACTAAGAATCACCATTATACACTAACACCCATCACTTACAATTCATCAGGGCAGTTGATTGGCTGAGCTATTCTGTATCCATCCTTTAGATAGGCAGCCATCTCAAAGGGGTCAATATCTACATATGGTGTTTGTCCCAAAGTCATCAATTCCCATAAAGTTACTCCAAAAGACCACTAGAAAGAATATTACATGAAACAGTGAGTTAGATTTTAGAAATGTTGTTTCAGTTCTTTTCAACTAAAATCAGTTTTATGCAAATATCTAAGTAAAGGAGATAGCCCATCTTTCTATAAAGTATTTCATACAAAGCCTGAAAAAGCATGAATTTAAATCTGTCCATTTTTTTTAAAAAAAAAACTGTTTTAAAGAAGTGTTAACTGGCCTATCAAACCTACTACTGTGATTACTGTGCACTCTGGAAAAGTATATATGTTACCTCAAAATGTTACTGCTTTATAATTAGGTATGACCTATCTATCTCAATTCTGAACTTTGAAATTTTGAGCTTTCAAAACCAACATATTAAAGCTTTGTCTATAATCCACAGAATTTGTTAAAAATACCTGAGTAAATGTTAGATAATACTTTAATGTAGAGATTAGTTTGCTATTTAATACAAGAATCTGAAAGCTAGCTAAATACCAGCTATTGGATATGGCAGAAGTACCAGGCTTCTGGGGGAAAGTAACTGTACCCCAGAGGGCTCCCCACCAATACAGAAGAAGTTAGTGTTCTCTTGTTCCCCAAGAGGCATGATTTGCATCTTTTAAAATCAACTTCCCATTCCATCTCCAGTCAGGAGATGCTTTGAAGAAAGATTTTCCTTTCCTTTGTCCTTCATACAGGATACATTTTTACACAGTAACAATACAGGTCTGTGTTTATTGTATATAAGGGTTTATTTTAATGTATCTATTCTTAAGTTCTTTGCAGAAACAAACAAGTATGAACACTTTAAAAATCATGACCAGAAATGACTAAATCCTGGGAGAAATATGCTGGAAAGAAGATGTGGAACAACATTTAGCTACTTTTTCAGAAAACATTTTAGCTGTTCTCGTTGCAATAACAAGTCTGAAAAGGTATAGGTGGCCATACAAGCTGGGTACAGACCTAATCAGGGCAAGGAAGCTAACTCCAGAAGCTAGAACTCTAAGGCCATTGTAGTAGTTCAACATTATTAGTGGATTTCTAACCTGCCTCTCCTCTGTGAATCCTAAATTGAATGGCTATTGGGGAATTAGTGTGATTCAATACATAGTCAAATATACTCCTTAATTAAAATAAAGAAAATAAAATGCTAGTATAGAGATGAAGGCTGCACAATGTTGCACAAGGAATAGACAATACGGAACAATAATCTTTCTTTCTTCTGTGTCAATTACTACCCAAAAGAAAAAAACAGGAACAGGGTAGAACAGGCAATAGGGATGAGTGTATCAAGTTATTATTAAATCACATTCTAGAACAAGTTGATAAAGCCTGCCCACATATCCAGAGAAGCCTACCTTTCCCAAACCGTCTGGTCTGGGCTTGGAAGCCTATTTTGTACATGAATGCTTTCTGTATTCACTATTTTAACAAAATAATCCAAGGCAAGATCCTGAACAGCTTCCATGCTGCTACCAAAACAAAGGCCGTGTTAGCTTGGTTTCTGCCAACCATGTTTCATAGTGCCTATGATCTACTTTTGGTCATAAACCATCAATACCAGGGCATCTATTTTTAGCTTTTCTGGCCACCTGAATTTATTTCTGAATTATATGGACACACTTCTCATGCCCTTTGTCATACTTAAGCACAGGGTAACAATACACAACTTTTTTATCTTCTTCTTGTACTACATATCTTGCTAAGCTCCGAATCTATGTAAATGTTGCAAGTGTTCTTAAAAAAAGCAAACATTATGGTGCAATTGCTAGAGTGTAGGAGATAAATTTAGGAAACAGGTTCAAATTTCTGTTTAGCTATGAATCAAACATGTATCTCATGCTACCTCCCTGCCCCCAGAGCACCTCTGAGAGCAATTAGCCTAAAGTGCCATTTTGAATTCACAAGAATGGTGGGTACAAATAAATTGAGATTTTAATCATATGAATGATTATTACAATTTAAAAGGCCATGCATATTTGACATCCATTGGTTTTAATTTTAACTCACCACATCACTAGCACCAGAAAATTCATTGTTAACCAAGCTTTCAAGAGCCATCCATCGCACTGGTCTGTTTTCATTGTCACCAAGGCAATGGTAATCCATGGGAAACAGGTCTCTGGACAGAGCATTATCGGTAATCTTTACTTGAAGTGCATCATCAATGCTGCATATTAAAATACAGACAGACAACCAGTTAGACAAGCCGCTTAATCTGCTCACATCCAAGTAGTAAAGTTGTGATTAAAGCATTGTCTATGCTACTCTTTAAAAAAGGCAGTTCTAGAGATATCCAGGATTAAAGTTGTCAGTACAACAAATCATTTGGAATTATAGGTGTGTTTCACAGTTTCAAGAACCCAAATTTTCTAAGTTTTAACAGCAAATCCTGAGAGACTGCTTTACACACGAAATCCAGTGGGGTCCTGTGTTCCTGCTGCTTCTGTTGCACCCTTACCAATTTCATTCTGCAAGTGAGACACCACCATTTGGGCAATAAATATTTAGTGTTTCTAGGTGCAACAAGAAACAAACAGAAATGTTTGCTCCTGGAACAGGACAGGTTAGTGGAGTTCATTTAAGGGATTTCTTCTGATTTATCTTAATCCAGAAAGGAGTATATATGAAGCATTAAAACTCTGTTGTGCAAATGTTCAGCCCCATTTGTATGGTGGAATCAGCATGAGAGGCTGATCATACAAAACAAAAACAAAAACGGCAGGCAGGACCACTTACACAACGGCTGCTTTGTAGGGAGAGATCCTTGACCAGCTCATCAGCATCACATAATACCAATGTAGTTAGCAAGGAGCAACTCATCTCTCCTGTTACAAATAGAGCTTTTTATAGGTTACATTAGTTACATCAGGTCTCTTCTTGGAACAAACAGAAAAAAAGGAATTTGGTATCATGAACACTTATATGTCTTCAGTCTGGGGATTTCAAAGTACTAAGAGTGCCCTCCCCCCCCCACAAAAAAAAAACCCTCCCCAGAAACTTAATTTATAGAGTTCACTGAAAGATTTTTGGCCTTGGTTATACTTTGCTTCTTGTTAGCCTTTAAGCTAATTTTTTTCCACACAAGGAACCATAGGGGTGCAAGGTTTGTAGGATTCTAGTCAATAAAACCAGGGCCATCCAATGTCAGGATGGTTGGCAGATTTTCTATTAATGCAATGCTATCCCCAAATGCAATACTTTTCTCAAATAAATTACCAGTTGCCACATCCTGCTTTCTGTCCCCAGTGACCCCAACTACTACAAATTAAACATGTACTTGTTGGCATAGTCCCAGCCTAAATTTTGTTTCTTGGTTACATAGGAGAGGCATTAGGACTTAGCTTTAATATATAAATACTTGCAGGCAAGGACAACACTGGAATTTCCTATCAGAGCCTGATGGATATAATTAAGTTTGCAAATTCTATCCAATGTCACCATGTGTATGGTAAATTCCACAGTACTGATGATGGCTGACAATGGTAAATACATTCAGTCAGTTTAAGTATTGCAGAATATAGTTCTCCCAGCATAATAATACTCTCTTTTCATCCTAAAACCTATTGTGCCAGGTGAACTGCGGGATATTTAAAGAATCATTTTACATTACCACCACCCATTTAAGTAATTTTAAGGTCTTATACTGTACTTACACACAATTTCTAGCCGCCAGGTCCTTGTGAATAACCTCTCTTCTTGCCAAGTAGCTCATTCCACATGCAATTTGAATAGCCATATGCACAAGATCTTGTTGTGAAATGGCCTAAAGAAATACAGAAACCTTATTATCAATTGCCCTTAAATAAATACAAGGTGTAGAACTAAATGTGCTTTAACAGAAATCCACAATGTCATCTTGATTTACTACTTGTCTGAGATGGAAGTCATTCTTATCGTCAACCTGTTTTTCTTAAACATTGTGATCCAAAATGAGTGTTTCTCCTGTACAAAGGAAGTTGTTCATGCTTATACCAAAAATTCAATACTTTTGAATTGGTTTTATTTTTTGGTATTGCACCCTACTTAAGTAATTTTTTTGTTGTATATAGATTTACTAAATAAGGAAAAATAAAAGAAAGTGCCATCTGTGCTACATGTCTTTTATAAATGGATTTATTTTCACAGCAGCATGTACTATCTAGAGAAGAATGTGGTCCTGAGAATACAAATGAGACATTTTTGGAAGCTGTTGTTATAGGAGAGGAAAACACAGGCTTACACCTGCAGTTTAGGTCCTGTGTTTGTCATCACACTGTAAGTAAATATCTTGTTTGCATTTAAGAATCAGCACGTATTTTCACAGAGGAAAAAACAATACTATTTTTGTGTGTTTTTAAAAATGTTTTTATGGCTTCAATACGTAATGAGTTCTTCATGATGATTAATCCCCTGCAAATTCACTATAGCCTTGACATTTTGAATTTTAATGAAATCTAAACTGGTGACTCAAACAATTTAATATCTTAGATCACTTATTACTTACCTGAGGATTATTGGCTTCTACTAGTTTGCACTGCCGCAAAAAAAGCTTAAGATTTCCCCAGTTCATGTAAGGCAAGAGCACCATAGGTTTCTCTCCTTCTTCTATACAAACGTGAGTGATAGGGAGCAGATTTCTAAAAAATATATAAATCTGGTTTGTACACCTTCAGAACTTGAAATGACAGTTCCATGTTCAAACTCACAGTGGTTTGTATTATACAATAATCACCTCTCAATTAATAACTTTCCTTGATTCAATCCTTTTAAAATATAATCTGTACACCCACTTTTGTTCTTAAAACTAAACATGTAAGCTGGTATTGCTATGCATATTTTTTTTAATATCCAAATGCTTTACAAATCAACAGGGTGGAAAAAAGAGAAATGTTTCATGACAACATATAAAACAGTGACTCAATAAGAGGGGACATGGCAACACTACTCTAATGTATTAGTTGCTTGAAAGCTTACTCTAAAATTACACACAGATAATAAGCAGTAAAGCAAATGCTATAAAATAACAATGAATGTTATCCATTAATAAAGCAACATATTTACATTATAAGATCAATATGATTTCTCTAACTTTTATAAATATTTAAGAAGAAAAATGGAAAACTCAGTCCTATGGTCTGAAACATAGAAACCAGTGGAATCTCTTCTCTGTATCAAATGGCTGAAAGCTGAGCAACAGCATAGTTCAGAGTTAAGAACTTATTACAAAGGACTGGATTTCTCCTGTCCCCCAGTGGTAACTGTCTTAGAAAACGGATGAGGCAACCATGTTTCAAAAATGGTTTTGCCTCAGTCTGATGGAAAATAGATGTTTACCTTTTTAGGACAATTACAACTTTATATAATAATGTTAAGTGATGCTTGCATTCCAGAAGCCTAGATACATTCCTATTACAACCAGAAATCCAGAAATGCACCATTTGAATCAAGCCTGACTCAAAGATGCAAAAACTCTCAAGAACTAAGCAAACTGCACTTAGGTGCAGTCTTGTTCTATGCTGTTAATGCAGTTTTCAGAAAAAAAAAATCACACCTTCAAATTTTTACTGTGTGACATACAAATATCCAATTTTCAGACATTCTGATGATTTTGGACTATGCAAAAATCAAGTTTTGGCTTTCAGGCTAGCCTGAAAGTATATTAACCATTCAGGATACATTAGGTCCCTTGTTTGAGGTAGAGATCTACATGTAATTCTTTCAGAAGTTTCTAGTACCAAGGGTGCCTTCAATTACCTGTATAAAATTAAATCATCTATCAGCTGGTAATTTCCAGGATATATCTACAGCTAAATATAGGAAAACGAATATAGCACCTCATTTTAACAGTTTTGTATCAACAGTAATGGAGAGACTTTTAAAAAATACTCAATTTGAATTGAGAGTATATCCTTGTCAGTCAGAACAAGTTGAAACTGCACATTTTTCACTGAAATGTATTTCTATAACATCATTTGAGCCCCTTTTATAATTCTGTTCCTTATTTTACTGCCTGTTAGCACAGCCGAACTTTATGTTTTCATATTTATTTCCAACAGAAATAAAACAAACAGTGAAATATTTTTCAATGGCTATTAAGATAAATTAATCATGATTAGTTATTGGTTGACATTATCAGTTGTGGAGAGATAAATGGTACAGGGACTATTTATAATGTAAAGTTGGTTGCTGATATTATGTTCTTTATGTACGCTTAGCTATTAATTTCTTTAAAGTTTTCTTAAGGTTAACTGTATTATATGTTCTGTTTCATTTATCCTGTATGTCTTAATTTATCTTTTTTATTGTTTTGCTCTGATAATTGTATCATGTTCTTTTATGAACTAAAACACTTTTTGGCTATTTTTAGTTAAACCAATTCCTCAGTCTTGTGCTTTATTATTTCAACTTCTTTGTGGTTGTAGCAATAAACAATCATATCAAGATACATGTCTGAGTCTCTCATTTCAGGGTAGAAACCTAAACATGTTGAATGTTATTTTATAATAAGAATTCTTCAACTACACATGTACCTAATGCAGGGCTCTTGCTAACCAGAAAGCACCCTAACATTTCAATTTGGCTTTGAGATTGAGGAGTCACATACATCACCAAGTGATGTGAGGAATAATGGGAGACTCCTTGCTCCCAACATGGGATTTATGATCTTTGTGCTTCTAGCTACAATTCTGGATATTTGGCAGAATCTATATGTCCAGCTGCAGCATGAATGGCAAACTTGAGGTATTCAATTTACCCTGATCCATTTGCCTAGTATCATGCTACAGGAATACTGCCTCCACTGAGATCACTATAGTATCCTGTAGGTGCATAGAACACTCCATTATACTGGGTCAGTCCACTGGTCCATCTAGCTAAACATTGTTGATACTGACATGGTTTCAGGAAGACTCCCTCCCAGTCCTACCTAAAGATGCTGGGGACTGAAACTGGAACTTGCATGCAAACATGTGCTCTAACACTGAGGTACAGTCCATTCCTTAATCTCCTGCTCTAGGAGGTAGCAGTAGATTACACTAGTTTCATTCCTGCTTGAGAAGTACAATCTCCTTTCCTTTTTGTCTACAAAATAAAACTGGCTAATATTTGGCTTTCATTAAGGAAAAGGTAACCAGTATTATTTTGCTTGGCCCCACCAGAAAAGGGATGAGGTTGAACAATAAGTCTAGAAATGAATGGTAGTAGGCCACAGAGACCAGTGGAACCAGGAATGACCTGACTGCTGGTATCCAAGTACTGTATATGTCCAAGCAGCTATGTGAATAAATTCATCAAAAGACTACCTACTGTATAGTGGGCAATAACAAGCCAGTGTGCAAAGCTATAGGGGTAGGGAAAGCTAAGGAGCACTGCTGCCACCTGGAAACGCAGTAAAGTGGGTGGAAGGGGAAAACATGTTATGCATGAACCATAAGGACTGTCTCTTTCTGTCCCTGATAGCCCTAAATCCACTGAAGAGAAAAGAAGCTATTTTTTTCCTTTCTATCATTTCTTACATAGATGTTAGTGGTTGTACGGACACCAAGCTTAACAATCTGCTTCTCTTGGTGAGAAGACAGAAATAAGAACCAGAAGGAATTCTCTCTTCAGTTGGGGTTCTATGTTTGTTTGTCCATGATCTTTAGAAATGAAACATTTTCTGCCTGCTATTCTACTAAATAAGATTAGAACCTATCTCCCTGATATACATTTTTCATGTGCATGCACTGAAGCAATTAATCACCCACTTTAAGTGTGAAATGGTACAAAACAGTAGCAAACACATCCAGTCAATTTGCTGATAATGTGTAACTCAACTCTAAGGCAGCAAGATCCAAGTGTGGGTTCTTGAATTAAAAAGTACAATCAAAAGGGCAAGCAAACATCTTTATGATCTAACATATACATATTTTTTTTAAAAAATCATATAAGATAAAATTTGAAACTTAACATGAAAGACTGACCTAATACATTGTATGTAACTTTCAAAGTATCACTTTAGTTTTTGAAAACATTATTTCTCAATGTATCATTCCAAAGTATGACAAAGACACTCTATCTTTCAATAAAACTATACTCAAAATTTTTTCCTTCTCTAGACCTTATATAATAAATCAATTTCACCATTATTGCCACATGCCATATACTTTAAAAAAACTCAGCTAGGGGTGGACAGTTCCCTTCTTCCAGAATGAAACTATGGAGATTTTTGTTGCTGTCACAGTATTAACTGTGATTTCTACACCTACCTTTTCCACAGTCTTTGAACTGAGTACCCTAAATGGATACATAGGAAGCTCATCACCTGTTACCTCCTCAGTGTAAAGCACACACAGATTCCAGTAAGATTTGATTTTAACACGTTACTCAAAATGTACTTATAATCAGTGTCAAAAGAACCACATCTTCAACATTTACCATGTTCTAAAACCATACAAGCCCTTAAGTTCATGAGGTGTTAAATATAGTTGATACAATATTTTAAAATAATTTTGCTTCCAAATATTTGTAATTGTGCTTTTTGCCAGTTTCACCACTGTGAATCTTCTGATGGTAATTCCAAGGATAAATCCTTCTCCCATGTTTTTTAAATGATCATTCCTTCAGTAACCCTTTTATAATTAAATATATTTTCCCTATCAATCCTTTACTAGATGAACAAAGGTAATAATTCACAACAGATGTTAACTTCTCATCAGAGCATTAATAGCATAACAACCCTAAAAGAATTATCACCACTTCATATCACATGTATCCAAACCATACCTTCTTACAATCAGTCTTTAACTACTGTCAAATCTATTTCCTCCCATTTAGATACCTCACCTAAAAGAATGCCTTCATTAACCTCTTCATTACACATCACAGCTCTCCCTGGTGATGAGCAGCATCGTTCACCCTGCAAAATGTCTGCAGGACCAGGACTAGACCTCTAGGTATTTGCAAAGACTGGAGCTTGTGCAATCATGCACTGCAGTTGAGAGCTCTGGAAGGCTGTATAAATTTTTTTTTCCTATGCTGCTGAGCTTGGTTAGAGCATCATGGATCTTCATGGCAGTAACTCAGTGGTCCTGATTTTGCTTCTTATCTTGCCTTGCTTTCAACTGTGTCTTGACTCTTGCCTGTTCCTGACTCTGCTCGTTTCTACTCTGATCCTGCCTTGCCAGGTACCTGATTCTTGCCTTTGCTTCTGGTCCTGCTACACCTTGTTGGATATCTGATGCTGTACGTTTTACTGTATCATTGTCCTGGGACTTAGTGAAGGACAGTATATAAAAGCTTTAAACAAATAAAAGAAATAAACATATCTGACACTTACTTGTTCCTGAACTTGCCTTTGCCATTGGTTCTGCCATCCTTGATGAGCATCTGACCCTCACTTGTTCCTGACTCTCACCTTTTGTTCTGGCCATGCCTTGCTTGCATCTGAACTTAGCATGTTCCTATCTTTGCTGCCCTTCTGCATTCCACTAAGACCTCCAACTATCTCCATCATCCCTGGTCCTGGTGCTCCAGCCACAGATACTTGCTGCCTACATCCTAGACCTGACACACAACTTTAACATAAAGATTTCTTAGCAATCTATTAACTGACAAGTTCTACACAGGCACAGAGCTCATATGTGTGATGCACAGAGACTGTTAAAATGATCTATTTTTCTCTAACACTATTCTAACTTGAAGATATCTCAATTGGTGCATATATACATAATTAAACAACTTCTTAAGTGCTTAAGAACAGCCAATTACACTCCACAGTATCTAGAGGATTTAACATTTATGGAAGAACAGTCCAACTTCTTTCAAAATTAGAATACCTCTCTTAAACCATAAAACACAGAAAACTGGAGGAGGCTTCACCAGTGGGAAAGACAGGAGTTTCTCTTAATACAGGAACTTCTTCATAGTCATGTGTATTCCATATTGGAATACAAGGCAGGATTCATAGGATTCCCAGAAAGCCTCCCATCAAAAGCATTGACAAGATCCAAGCATGCTTAGCTTTAGCAAGATGGCTGCATTCTGGTCTTCTGAGACATACACCATAGAAGCAACTCTGCTAGAGCAGAACAAAGGCCCATCTAATGCAACATCCCACTTCTTACAGTGGTCAATGAGATACTTCTTGGAAGCCCAATAACAGGACAGGAAAAGGAGGTTCCATAGTTGCTATCATGACTAATTGCATTAACAGATCATCCTCCATAAATTTATCTAATCCTTATTGACACCATCCAAGTTAAGTAATCATATCTTCTTGTAATGAATTCCATGTATATCATTAAGTATTTTTTCTTGGATGTCTTGAATCTATTGCCAATAAATTGCAACAGGTGATAATTATGGTTTATTGGGATGGGGAATGTCTTCTCTATTCATTTTCTGCACAACATATAACTTTATATGCCACTAGCATACCTGCATCTATTTTCTAAATGAGAAAGTCCCAATCATAGGGAAGATGCTCCAACTCCTTGTTCATTTCCATTTTCATTGTCCTTTTTCCACCTCCTCCAAGGTCAACAATATCTCTTTTGAGGATGGGCATCCAGAGTTGTACACAGTATTCCAAATACAACTGCACCACAGATTTCTATAAGAGCATTACAATACAGACTACCTTATATATTTAACATTTGTAAACCACAATGAGTGCTAAAATTCATCAAGGTGGTATTCAACCAATTAAAAAATATGAAGTCTTAAAACAAAATAAAAACAAGAGCTAAAACATTTAAACTATACATTTTGAAAGGCCAGAATAAGGTAAGTCTGTGTACCATTTTGAAAGACCAAAGGTTAGAGGATGTGGGATAAGTCAATCATAGTTCTCGAGGGAACACACTCTAGTTTGTGTAACTTTTTTGTGTGCCCAACAAATAGGCTCTACAGATAATTATTTACAAATTATTTTCTATTCATAAACCTCCCCAAATAATTCCCAACATGGAATATGCCCTTTTTAACACTGCTACCATTTTCACTGATGTATTCACCAGGGCCACAATGATATCTTGTGCAAGTAGTAATAGTACTGATATCTTTGTCAGTAGTAGTTTGGGACCCATCAGTGCACATGTGAAGTTAGGATTTTTGCCTCAGTACACTAGAATCAAAGGCTACTAAATGCAAGACCTGAATACCAATGATGTTCCTCTGACATAGCATACTTAGAAGTTATACATGGAGAGACATTTTAATACACTTCAGTACATATCACAGTAAGCTGCCACAGATATTTAAAAAGTAAGTAAATACTTAATGATAGATCCATGAGGAAACAGACAGACATGCAAAGAAGAGTACATGAAAGGCATTTATTATCACTGTCCATTACATTTTAAAGCTTAATTGTATAGCATTTCAATCTGAGATTTTCATATGAGGTTAATTTCTTCCTCCAAATGATAGCAGCACATTAGTCAGACAAAACAGGAGTCTGACTTCTATTGACTAAAGGAACCAACTGCTTTATAGTGGCAGGTCTTTGGAAGATGAAGCTTTTGGTGCATTTCATAATCCAGATAAATCCCCAATCCCCTCAAAATATCATCCTGTAGTTCTATTCTCATCTATAGTTAGGGTGAAATATGCAAATAATGTTTTCTTTCTCTTTGCTCCGCATGCCTGTTCCTTGGCAAACTACAAACAAGGCATGCATGAGCACTCAAGTTCAAAAACTGGAGTATAGTGATTTTGCAGAACAAAAAGCTGCCTGCTTTTAATAAAGATTGCTACCCACTTAACTTTTATGGGAACAACTCAAAATAAGTCATCCTCCTCTTCAAGTAAAAGTACTAACCTGTGATGGAGACCTCTGAGTTTACAGCTTTCTGTCAACATCATTGTCACTTGAACTTCTGAAGCCTGATCTAAAAAAGCCAAATGCTTGTTAAAGCAATTTTGCATGAGCACAAACTGCTTTCTTTAAATGTGTGTGTGCGCATGCACATGAATATGCTGAAAATATTCAAATAGTAAAACATTCACACACAAAAATATTACATGCACTTAAAGTCAAGTTTTAAAAATAAAACGGCACAACAAACTTTACTTGCACATTTCATAATTTTGAGGTTTTTACACTGAAAATGTCCACATGCTGAGCACACTGTACAATAAATATACCCCACAGCACCCACGGTTTTCCTGTCCAAATAGCTGACGAGTCAAACTCCAGGATACCTATGGGAATACAACATTCCTAGGGGACTCAATTAACTGAATGCTTCTGTGTAGGGAAAGGGGTAGGCAGTATTCACCAATTTTCTCTGCAATCTCCTGAAAAACTCTTGAAGGTTAGGGAACCCTCTGAAGCAGCATGGGAAGTGTTGCTGGGATCTACATGTAGAAGAGGGAATCTGCAAGTATCAGGAATTCTGCTGGATCAGAATCCTTTCCATTTGTGGAAAGGGAAGCCTGGATTCAAGCCTACAGGCCTGATCTAGGGAATTTAAAATATAGAACAGGACTTCCGTATTCCCTAGCTCAGTGTCTTCCACTAACTGCAGTTGCCCTCAGACCAAAAGAGAAGTTGTAAAGTGTCATAAAGTGCCAGATAGAAGTCATAAAGTATTTTCTGTAAGGAAAATTATTGATTTAATAGGGAAAGGAAAAATGTATACTGAGGTAAGAACAAAAATCACTGCAAAAATAGTGTTGGCTATTTCAGGCATCTACTTAGGGTCTTGGAACCAATTCATGTAAATATGGGGGTCTTGCTGTTTACTCACAAATGAACAAACTTTAAACAGTTTAAACTTGTAGCAAATTATTCTACAATAAGCTTACTTTTGAGGGACTTTGGGCTGATATAGCAGACAATAAGTGCAAAAATAAGTAAGTAAAGGACCCTCTCTTTCCTGTTGCAGATATATGACACATTTTGTTTTGTTTTATAACATGGAAAAAAGTTCTGAGGTATGGAAGCTATCTGGTGCTCTTTAAAGAATTTAGATTTCTGTTGTAGTTCTAGTCTGTTAGTTAAGGATTTGGGAAGAGGTAGTGTGGGAAAAAGTCAAAGATACAGATATTCTTCGTACATTGCACTCCAAAGGGCTCTTCCAAGCAAATTGTACAAACCAGTGTGCCCTATAAACAGGTGATTTGTAACATACTAGTCTGTCTTCTGTGTTCCTTTTAACAGACCTATTCTTTAAACAAGAGGAATTCCAAGCAAGAATTGCCCATCAAAAGGCTGATCTGCATTCAACTATACAAGGAAATTCAAATCTTATCTTGTGGAACAGTTCCAGTATTTACACTGGGTTGAATCCAAAGGTTTTGCTCCATAAACGATAGGATCCCTTCACAAGCAGAACTCTCTTTCCATTCACAGAGTGAAAGCTCTGTATCCTACCTATTGTGTTTTCTTATCAATATTATTTCCTTGCTGTTTCTAAAGTAAATTCATATCTCCAGCAAAACAAATTATATAAGTTTGACCCACACACAGAATAAATCAATTTGAAATCCATGCACAAAGTTCTGGGAAGTCTTAAAATAAAGAACACCATACAGTTATAATCATTACACATACTGAGAATTCAGAAACATCTTGTACTGGTTATGATTCAAATTCATTTAGTAGATGCCAAAAACTAAGAGACAGAAGAGCTTGCACAGTATCTGGTGAGAAGAAATGGAGCAAGCAGTGTGCTACCATGCTCCCTTTTAGTCAGAGCCAGCCCAAGTCCTTCCAACAGACTAAAGAGAACTCTGGGTATAAACATATGAAACTGCCTTATTCAGGGTCAGATCACTGATCCTTATGACCAAAACTTGTTTATTCCTGCAAAAACTGCCTCTCCAAGAACTTTTCCCAGCTTTGCTGCCCACGATCTGTTCACTATGGATGCCAAGAACTGACATCTGTGCACAAAGAAACTAAGATTGCCCATGAGGTATTTTGCCCCCCAAAACTTATGTACACATATGTGTACTAAGTTATTCAACCTCTACCTCTAGAGCTCTCCATATTTTGTTCCAAAGACGTACTTGAAATTCACACACCCAGCCTTAAGTACAGAAACCAGAGTTTTGGAATTTGTTCTGACATGACCTGCTGGCCTCCTATGGTTGATGAACACATTTTGCCCCAAAGCTAATTTTTTCTGTACATCTAAGATAGATATGCACTGCAGAAGCGCTGACTATTCCATAGTACAACTGTATAAAACGTATGCTGAAAACCTACCTTTTACTGTTTTGACAAACATTTGCTTTTCTTTAGTAGGATCTTTCTCTTCTATTAAAATTCCATGGAAAATTCGACCAAATGTGCCTGAAAATAAGAGTGATGACAGAGGAAAATGATGTCAACAAAAAATTACAAATGATTTCAAAAACTCAAAGGTGAAGAGAAACTAAAGCTAGCAGTGAAATCTCCTCTTGTGAGCTTTCGTATCCAAAGCTTCTTTGGGGGATTTTCAATCACTCATGCTGTAGGTGGCACACAAACCAGTGCCAGTGTGGCGTAGTGGTTAAGAGCATGGGACTGAGACTCAAGACGATCTGGGTTCTAGTCCCTGCTCAGCCATGGAGCCAACTGGGTGACTTTCGGCCAGTCACACTCTCAGTCCAACCTACCTCACAGGGTTGTTGTTGTGAGGATAAGATGGAAGAGGAGATGTAAGCTGCCTTGAGCCCTTTGTAGGAAAAAGGCAGGATATAAATCGAAAAATAAATAAATAAATAAAATAAACCTCCATTTGACAATCTCTAATTTGAAGTATCTGAGGAAGAATGAGAAACTGAGCCCTCTTTTCTAACTATTCAGCAGAATATTAGTAATTTTACTTGAATATTCAGTTATAATTTGCCTCACAACTTAGTGAAGAGACAGATCAAACATTATTAAAATATTTTTAAGACCAACCAGATGATTTGGCAAATGAAAATGATGAACCAATTTTCCCCAGTTAAATTTCACAAAACCATTAACGTTTAGGAGCAATAAGATACAAGAACAAACAGAAAAAATAGGATATATTTGCATGTCTCAATTTACCAAGAATGTATCCTACAACCCATAGCACAAAACTCAAAACAAACCCTCTATTTAAAAAAATAAATATTACAAGTTTTAATTATTTAAAAATACGGTGTAGGTCAACATGTACAAGCTCCTTAAAATGAAATGATCCACGTAACAAGGGCCTATCTTAATAATGTCTGAACCTAAGTTTAACCAACATGAACTGCGTTCATGCTCATATTTCCCCCTCCCTTCATATATTCAGATTTCCCTACAAGCATAAATTGCTATTTTGCCAGTTAGACAAACTACAATTTATGCAAACAATTTCTGTTCATTGCAAACAAGAAAGTGAGCAAGTAAATTGGAATATATGAGCTTAAGTCATAAAATCAACAGATAAACCATATTTTGGAGATGATGTCTGAATAATGGAAGTTATAAGATTGCTTTAAATATGAAATGAACGTATCTATTTGAGGTCAATCATTAAAGATATGGCAGAATACTTGTATTACATTTGCATTAGTATGATACTGGGAGCCAAGGACAGGCAAATCATCACAGAAAATGGTTTTTGGCTCCAGGAAATGCCTCCTGGCCTATCACTAGAAGGCTATGTAGAGGATATATGGGGGATGCACTGCTCATTTATTAAATGAGTACTTTTTTTTCAACAAAACAAGGACATTTCCTTTTCAACTTATGACCATAAATCACTCTTCCCAGTAGCCATCACTGGGAAGTTCAGCTGCTTCTTATAGCCAGTGACACATATTCAAAATTCCTTAGACTGCAATGAACAAAAGTTTGGAGTGTAGGTTATTAACTTTTTTCCTGTCCTGTCCTTTCCTGTCATGTCCTTTCCTTTCTTGACCAGTCAATAGATGAAGCTTTCTAGGAGATTTACAAATATTAAAGCTTAAAAACAGATTATAAAAACCAAATACATACAACTACAAAACCATAAAAAACCAGAAAGACATACACATCTAAAAACAATTTTAATGCAGTACCAAAAAATGTGCATGTAATCTCCTCCAAAAGTTTACCATTACAGGCTGTTAAATGCTTGTGAGAAGGTTGTCTTAACCTGGTGCCCAAAAAGCCAGCAATGTTGGTGGAATTCAGGGGCCACTGCCAAAAGGCCCTCTCCCTGGTTGACAAATTCCAAGCCTCCTTCAGAGGGGGATGTAAAAGGGGATCCGTAGTATATGGGCAGCTTCATTCTGGGAGAGGTGCCCTTTCAGGTACAGCAAATCCAAGAAACCATGTAAGGCTTTGTAGGGCAAAACAGCCTGAATCAGGCTCAGAAACACAGAGGCAGCCCGTGCAAGTGGATCAGAACTGGTGTATAGATTCAGACCTTCTGATCGCACTTATCAACCTGCTTTTTTCATAAGCTGCATCTTCTAAACTGCCTTCAAAGACAGCCTCACATAGAGCACAATGCAGTAATGCAGGGGAAAGGAGCAAAAGTGAAACAAAAATCAAACACTGAAAAGAACCATACCCTCTTAGGTATCAAAAATTAGTGTAGGTTGGTAGCTATATTAATCCTGCTAGTATCCATAATTGTTTAAAAATACGCAATGATAACTGCCTAAAATCTGTTACTTAAATCAGCTTTCTGGGGAGGAGGGGATATTCATCTAATTCATCCATACTGGTTACAACTTATTCCCAGCCATTTAAAAGATCTTTGAAGAATTCACAAAAGATGTGAAGAAGGATGAGAAAATTTATATATATGAGGAACTATTTAATAATACCTTCTTGAAGAACATCTTTCAGAGTTATCCTCTCTCTAGATATTGCTATGTCCTTTACTTTAGCCTTTGCCTCCATCAGTGTTACACTTTTAAGGTCATTCTTCTCTATCCGTAAAGTAGGATAACCTGAGGAGCCAGCAGAGCCAAACAATACCAATATAAATACCAAATGTAAAGATTTTGAATACAAATTCAATTAAATCATTTTCTAGCGATAAAATTCTTCAATTTAGGGGTACTGGGGGGAACCTGAACCTGGATAGCACCTACCATGTATTTAAAAATTTGTACTGCAGAATGACTAATTATATCTTGGCTAATTACTAAGTATTATCCACGTCTAACAAGATTTTAATAGACAAGACAGTAGACATATTGCCCTCTTCTGGACTTCAGAAGACATTGCTATATACAAAGTTACTCCTTTGTTCATGAACACTGAAAAAATAAGTGTGACATAACTCTTGCATATTGTGCCCAGCCCGATCTGGAAGCCCCAATCCCCTTCAATGGCTCATAGGATGCAATTTAAGGGACTGGCCAGCCAATCTAACCTAGCAGTTTCTGCAGTAACTACCACAAAAGGCAACTTTCCTGGGCAATTATATCACAGGTCTGCCACCTTTGCTGGGGTTATAGGACAATACAATCTGTGTGAAGCTTACAGATACAAACGTTAAGTGAATAGCTTATTTTTAGCATCAGTGAAGGATACCTACCACTTTGGAACTGTATGCAATGCTTTGGCACTACTGCTTTGGCCACACTTCATTACAAGTAGCATTGTCAGCATGGCTAGAAATTGAAATACACTATCACTTTATGAGATTATAGCATTGTTTTATATAGGGCAGCCTCTCCCAACATAGCACTCTCCAGATGAGTTGAGCTATGACCCCTCAGCCAGTCTAATACATTCTTACCTGTTAGTATCAGTGTCACTTTTCAGAACTGACACTTTGTTAAGTGCCCGCCCCCCACCCCAACCCCATAATTAGATTAACACTTACTAGTAATTGGTGTTGCATTGTTAGGAGTGTCAGCCCTCAAGTACTGTGTTGTTTGAGTTGAAGGCTGGGATAAGCCTTGAGAACTACTGCTGTCACTAATGCTGTTGTAGAAAGCAAAAATACAGTGTGACTGTTTCTGGAACTGCTTTTTATTTTCTCTCTAAAGTGCAACCTGTTCACTTTTGTTGAGGATATGGGCACTATTTCATCTATAATGCTGGAAGCTTCTGTTGGCAACACTACAGTTAAAGGGGCAAATGTAAAAACATTTATGCTTGAAGATACCATCCAGATTACAATGTCACCAGTGTTTCAATGTACAGCAGGACCCATCCATATCCATGCAAATCAGTTCCAAGCCCCACAGCAGGAGCCTGAAACCGTGGATAATAGCGAACACTACATGTGCTATATATTATATACATTTATTTTTTCACAGTTTCATTTGTTCTTACTTCAGCATAGGACTTTTTTCTTTCCCTATTAAATCAATACTTTTTGCCTACATGAAGCACTTTGCAACTTCTCCTTGACACTTTACAGCTTCTCTTTCAGCCAAGGTCAAATGTGGCTAACTGAAAATGTGGTAACTAAACCAGTAGATATGGGGGTTCTGCTTTATTTATGCTTTTCTTTTCAAACTAGAGTATGTATGTAAAGGAAAATATATTTCAGCAGCTTAACTAGTGATATGCAAAACAGAAGACTTGCACACTTGTGTTGGAGCCACTGATACAGAAAGGGGTTAGAGTGTGCATATGGAGCCTTTAGGTTTGTCAAGTATTCAGAAGAGGAAATGGTATTTTAAAGTACTTTTAAAATAACAACTTCTTGTTAAACAGTTTGCTTAAATATTTACCATAAAGTCTTTATCTGCATGGAAAAGACCTACAATAAAGACTAATGTGTGCAGAAATGCTGAGAGCCATATTTATATTGCTGTGTATGAAAAAGCTTGTATATCAGTTTTATTCTTGGCCACATATTCATATTGGGACATCACAGCTAAGTATAGGTTCCACGTAAAGATACACAGAGTGAATCAGATGTGTATGTGACTATTAAAACAATCAACATGTTCTTCCCTTACATGAAACTGTTTTCTGTATAGGTTATTGCCAACATCTGATATTGTGTTGAAGTGATCCAAATAGTAGGCATTTCTACTCCAGAGATTGTGAAAGTAATAAGTCACTCCAAAAAACATGTAACCTTTTTGAACATTATAAGGAAATATTTTAAGAAGAGAAAAACCACTAAAATTCTCTCTCTGTGTGTGTATGTGTGCGTTCAGAGGATCTCTAACTGTATTCCATATCCCTTGCAACTGGAACAAAAAATATCTCTCTCTACTTCTATCTTATGTATTTTTAAATAGAAACAATAACACTGAAGTTGTTCATACAAACTACTGTTTACCAAAGAACAATGAACTCTTAGGGTCAAATGAAAAAAATGGGTTGTATTTTCCACCAGCACAACTGTGAGAATTAAAATTAAAGAGAAATTGATAATTAAAATTAGGAAACAGCAGTGAGAACTTCAATCCCGGTATAAAGTGGTAGGTACACATAATCAACTGTGATTTCCTCAAACAATCATCCTTTGTCAGTTGAGCAAGTACAATAAAGTATAAAATTTATTTGGCTCTGAACTGCCACACATTTCAAATTATAATATTAGCTATCAGTCAGCAATATCAAAAGATGTTCCTTTTTATTATTCATCTTGTGCTAAAAATTAACTGCAACTTTAAGCTACCTTACTCCTTAACTCTCAGGACTTTGTGAGCTTCTAGTGAGATCAGAAATTGCAAGCTTAAGAAAACATTCACAGAAAGGAGCAGTGTGCATGAGGTGCATATGCGGAGGTGGGGGTAGAATTAGCAAGAACTACCAGATAGTGTTTTTTGGTGTGTGTTATGGTGCATCTTAACCCAATCCACATAACGGAAGATGTCCCACATGGTATCTGGGAGCATTAAGAAAACTAATGCAATATTAAGTCTTCCAAAGTATATCAGCTATCTTTTGTGTCTCATATAACAGAATATATAAGTTTCAAACATGAAAACTTGAAAAAATGGAAGCCTGCTTTGTTCTTTACCTGTCTTCCAACTCTATTCTCTTCATACTGTGAAGATGCAAAACAGCTAATATTATTGCGACCAGGAATATGACAGCACAGCAAACTCCTACACTGATATAAAAAACACGCGTAGAAGTGGTGGGAGCTGCATTTACAGGATCAACTGAAATTGAAATGTAAAGCATTACTGAAACAAAGTGGATACAACACATGCCAATTTCAAATAAATTCATATACAATTGTGCAAGAAAAAGTTTGTTTTTTACCACATTAACATGCTGTTATTTAAGCCTATTACAAGGGGGAAAGCCAGTGCCAGAATGTACCCTGAAAAACAGTTCTCAAGAGAAGTCTAGAAAAAGTACAAAAGTTCAGAGGGAAATGTCCTCCACTATAAAAGCAACAATTAGCTATCTGGAAAATCAAACATAAACAAAAATGCTATGAAGAATATTTAGCCAAAAGGTGAATGGAATATTTTTATCTGATATTTACAAGCCATTCATTGTTGATAGGAATTTAATTGCTTTGCCAAAAAAATAAAAATAAAAGACCTATAAAAGATTTATTTTCAACTTCCCATAGTCAATAATAAATGCATAAAATGATTAATGTAAAGTGTTTATCTTAGGGGAGGCCTGGAGAATGTGCAACTCTCCAAATATTGTTGGGTTGCCAACTTGGACTGATGAATGCTGCACTCTGACAATATCTGGAGGACCATACATTCCCCACCTTTCTTAGAGGTTATTATGACAAGAGGCCACAATTATTTATCATAGCAATAACAGCAGAATGATATAAAAACATTTGTCATGCATATATTGATGGCAATATTATTCTTTAATACCTGCTAGTGAGCAAAAGGTCAATGAGGAGCTGATCAATTTTTCTCATGCAACAGCAGCCGAGGATGAAAACTGTCACCTGATTTAAATTATTTTTAAATGAACAAGTAAAAGCACCCTCAATTTCTCCTGCATCTAATATGTGAAAAATGTTTTAAGAAATCAAAAACTACTAGGACATAAACCTGTTTACTTACAAATAGCTTTGCTGTTATTTTTGTCCAATACTGGTGGCTTTACTTCTAGTTCAAGTTCTAAAGATAAAAGGAGAAAGAGTACTTGAATTATTCTTCTTTTCAGTTCTTAGTAAGTTTTGCTTTTTATGACAAGACAATGAATACAAAACATTCAAGCTTCCATAAAAACTCAGTCAAGATTTTCAAGGTTTGGCTGTATGAGAAACCTTACATAGTCCACCTGGTCTACAGTACATGTTTGAAGGCCATTTCCAATTCCTTGGCACAGCCCACACTCTTGTGATTGCTGCCAACTTCAGTTCTGAATGAGTGTTTTGCTATGAATTTTCAGCAGTAAACTGCTACATAAGGCTAAAATAGCCGAATAGACTTAACTTGTTGAAAACAAGCCTCAATCTTAGACTTTTGTAGTGGTTTGACAGTGAAATTCAGCAAGTAATTTGAAATATTGCAGATGCTGCAAATTTTAATGGTGGAGTACTAGCTAGGCTTGCATGTGGCCCACACACCACATACTGCCCACTCTCAACTACAAGACATATCACACCATGCAGTAACTTCCATAACTGGAAAGACTAGAAACTTTACAAATGTCTTGAAATATGTGAGAAATAAATGTAATGCCTCCTTCCAAAGAGATTCTTATCTAAACATGTGGTTTTACACAGGTCCAGAAGAGCATAAAATGAATTTTAGCTTAGGATTTACATAAAGCCAAGAATAAAAGTCTCAAAAATTGCAGATACCTGTCTTGTATCCCTCATGTTTCATGGGAATGGAGTATTTAACTGTTTAAAATTAAGTCTTCCTGTAATTTGTGTAACACTCCACTTTAACAAGTGTAAACTAACAAGGAAGGACTCCTATAAAGTTCTACTCCAGTCAATTTTGGCATAGGTGCACACATTCAAGGGTTGAGCATAACACATATATCTAATGCTGGGAAATGCTGGGAGTTACAGGCCTTTTTTTCTATGCTATGCATTCTAAAAATGCATAGGTGTTCAGATATTTTAATAAATTAGCATAAGCTTTCATGGGTTAGAGTATCCCTGAGACATTATAAAAGGTGGGATACAAAAATTTAAATAAATAAATAAATAAATAAATAAATGAGTTACAGTCCACTGCTTCAGGTTATATCAATAGTAATTATATTCTATTTATGTCCCATGAATAATATTCCATAAACATACTAATGATTGTTATAACTAGCCTATGTAGAGCTTTCAATTGTTTAAAGCACTTCATATACATTACCTAGTTGTAAATTGTACATGCCTCTCTATGTATAGAGTTAGAGGTACTGGGCAATAGGTACTTCTTTTCTGTAGACCAAAGACTGGCAATATGTGGCCTCCTTGGCCCACTTTTGTGGCCCCTGGTGCCATGCTGATGAATCTGCTGTCAAAATTTGGCAACGCAGGAGCTATAAAAAGTCACATTTCCCTTTTAAAATAAGGGCACAGAGATTTTGTTTTAACACGAAATAATGCTCTTGGAAGCTCCCCACATACCTTGTTTTAAAGGAAATGTGCAGCTTTTATTACTGTCACAATGTCATGCAAGCATGGCACCAAACTCAGTGCTACGTTTGAAATTTGGTGGTGGGGTGCCACCCCTGGTGGTTTCTGAGAATGGGGGTAAAATTGACCCCTGGATCCCCAAAGCTCCCTATCCCAGCTTTACAACAATCCAGCAAGTCACAAGTATCTATAATATCACAGACAGGGACAAAGTGTAATTTGCCTAAGGTCATGTGGTGAGTTTGACAGAAGCAAGATTCAAACCAGGCATTTCTAGATTTACAGTTCAGTCATAACCACTGTGCTATATCAACACACACACACACACACACACACAGAGAGAGAGAGAGAGAGAGAGAGAGAGAGAGAGAGAGAGAAAGAGAGAGAGCGCGCGAGCGCGTGCACAAGTAGGCTCATTTTGCAGAGAACAAATATGGTTTTTATATGTCTCACTTCATATAAAAACCAAATGCAACAGATGACATTTATTCAAAGTGCAGATGGCACTGCTGGCTATTCTTTTAAAATCTTAAGCTAAATACAGTCCACTCTAGAGGCAGGCTTACTACTAACAATATAACATCTCATCTTAACACAATTATGCTAAAACTTTTGTATAGTGTGTTGTTGCTACTTCATACTATTAGTAGTAAACATGAAATCCACTTCCATAGAGACAACACCCCAACCATGCTTCACCTTTCTAGTTGCTTGAAGCACAATGGTTACTGTTGTTATGGATAACTTCTGTTTTCCAATCAGGGAGTCTTGGTTCAAATACTGGTTTTTTTAGAATCCTAAACTTAGCCTTATCTTTGGAGCCTTTTTGGTCAACCATACAACTCTTTTTTGTTATTTTATTTTAATAAAGATGTAAACATTTGTTTGAATATATTCTGTCACAATATATAGTCTCCATAATACGGTCAAGGTAACAATTAGAGAAAACAGATTATAACATTCAATAAAAGAAAAAATTGATAAATCATTAAAATCAACAAGATCAGTTGCATCTGTAACAAGGAATGATAAATGTTTTCAGAAACCAATGAACAGTATGCAAACAAATAGAAAAGTAGTGTTTTTCTCTTTCATTCCTTTGACTGGACACTCTTAGTAAGTTGTGGCATTTTAGCAATTCTCCTTGTTGTATGTACAAAAGGCATAGATCGAATTTGGTATGTAGAGACAATTAGAATTTTATTGCAGTTACTGAGTGTTATGATCAGTTTCTTTAATCAGCACATGATTTCAAATTTTTACCAATTGTTTTGATGGCACATATCTGAAGACCCTTTTGACATATCCTCTGCCCCCCTGCATTGACAAACTTCAACAGGCTTGTCCCTGACCTTAATGCCAGTCCAGATGGAATTATCATTTGTTCCAGTTAAAGAAATGGCAATTTTATTACTATCTTGCATAAACTGTTGGCTTAGGAGATGGACTGTAGCAAAAGAGAAGATGAAATGAACCAGAGAGAGGGAAAAAGAAATGAGAGGGATCGTTGTGAAAAATGTCTATGGTTGCATTGCTCCCTTTAAAATGACTAAATAAAATGCCTTACTTTTATAGCACATTTTCCTTCGTTTGAAATTTAACACTGTGATATTTTTGGAAGCATTTACAGTCATGTTGAGCTGCATTAGTACCGTAACCTCAGAGTCTAATCTGCCAGTGCAAGAGAGTTCCACCCGAAACACTGTAAACAGAAAAGACATAGACATGCATGATTTTAAAGACAGATTAGAAAAACACATATTTTAAATAGTGCATTGCCTTTAACTCCAGGGTATTTCCTTAGCAGTATTTCCCTTCACTACTATTTAAAAAACTAGTATGAATCTTTGAGTTCTTCTTCATGTTCTTTCCTATGCACAATGAATTTATGTAGAAGCATTATATGCATTTTGGGGTTTCTTAGTATGCTATGTCATTCGTTCTTATGGTTTTGCCAGTATTGCACATTTCAAAAATAAATCCTATTTTTTTTTTACTCAACAGAAAGTATACTTCAATATGTTTGCACTTAGTATTGTATTTCTCCTATCATTATACCGCTGTCACATTTAAAAGAGTGGCTTCAAAAATAGTTGTACTTTACACATCATTATCCTGAGCAGGTCTCATATTTTTGTTTATCATGCTGTCTATAGCGAGTGAGCAGCCTGTTCTGCTAAGCATGACAAACAAGTTTCTTCCCAGTCCTTCTCAATCCTTGCCATCTCTCCATTTTAAAAGCTGAAAGGTTGGCAGTTGCACCACCAAGGTGTAAGAACATCATGACCATGTGAGACCAAACCAGATAATGCCCAACTGGCCATTCATGTTCCAAGCCAACCCAGAGCTCCTTCAATGAGCACTAACCAAATGGGCAACCCCCAACTCCCTTTATTTTCTTAGAAAGCAATTGAAAATCAGTCCAAGTGGTTGAATGCTGAGAACCTAACTGCAACTAAACAGCTTTGGTTAAAAGCAAAATGTAACCATATTGTCTTAACATGTTTTTGAAAGTATTGATGCTGTCTGGAATATGGAACTACTGGGATTGTAAATTCAAGAGCAAGAACTTTGCTTTTAAGTGACATAGGTTCACTAATGTGCAAGATGTATTTCAACAGCATCAGTGAGTTTATGTTTTGTATGCATTTTGCATTTCTACAAATCACAAGAAGAGTGCAGAATATAGCAGAGGAAACCAACTCAGCCTCCTAAAGAAGAATAGGAGTAACTGGTGATAAATTTGAAAACCAGACTGCATTGCAACTTGGCTAGCAGAACCAGAATAAACTAAATAAAATAATTAAACAGTAAAAAAATAAACAGAAACCAGCTTTTCTTGATGCTGGTATTTGAGTTATATGTTCAATTTGCACAAACTTTACTCACAATCTGAGTGAAAGCCATTGCTGAGTAACTTTCTTCTATGCTCTTAGGATTACAGACACCTTGAACAACATGACAGTAAGTATTCCTGCCCTCACTATAGCTGACCCTCTAGGAAATTGCGGCAATATAAACAGAAACATTTTACTAAGTGGCAGAAGATAAGCCTTAGATGTTTTGTCTGATGGAAGACTATTTACCTGATAAAGTACGAGGGACTTCTCCTTGTTCAGAAATATTTGCTTGCGGCATCTCCATAGCCAACATATTATCAACCTGAAATCCCAGTCTATATTCAATCTGTAATGATTTATAGAAGAAACCAAATGATTTATAGAAGAAACCAAAACCAAAATTAAAATTTCTTCAATAAAATGGTCCATATTTACACTGCTTCCAAGTTATTTCTACTTGAGTTATATTAAGAACAACCAAGTCATCAAAAGCAGGTTGCTAGGTGCTCACCTGGAATCTCTTAGGGTAAATTCATAACATGTGTTAGTTTTGCACTGTTTCATGCCACCACCCACAAGTGTGTAGTGACAGAACTAAGTGGGATACTTAAGACAGCATCCAATGCTGTGTTATCTGGGTTGGTATCTTTCCAATATGTGTAGCATTCTGGTGCAGACCCCTGTCACTTAGTTGAACAACCTCTACACAAAGACGAGCTCCACTGATAGTTATAGTTCTGGTTTCCACAGCAGTGAAATATGGTGTCTTTCTTTCAGCAAACTTATTATAGCAACCGGGCTATGTTTCTCCTGTGTGACTTCCGCTGGTGATACCTCTCCTGTCTTGACAAATGCACATGAGTCCTGTTCAATTGTATTCCATCCTTTGCTACTCAGGACAATCAACTTCATAACATCTATTGTTTTTTTCTTGGTAAGATTTTTCATAATATTGGCACTAAGTTGTACCTTGAAGTTTCACTGCTTATTCTAATAATATGACGAAACAGTCTTGTATTTAAACCAGCCTTTACTTTACTTGTATGAACAGATATACTGTTCCTAATGTCTGCTTCTAGTTTACCTAAAGTAAAACCAATGGTGCAGTCAAACTTCTTATATCTTTCACTATCACTGTACACTACAAAGATTATTTGCATGAGTGAACAAAAGCAGAGGTGTTTCTGTGTATCTCTGCTATCTTGTGTACTAGAAATTATTTCCTTGTTTCTCTTTAAATGTTATTTTTACTGTCAGTATTCTCAGCATTACCAAATATGGGACCATGTACATACTTTGCATTTCTCATGTAGGCACTACTCTTTTATATAATATCCCCTTGATGTGTTCCTTTAGTTGAGATTCTGGAGGGAGTATCCACATTGAGAATTTTCTCATTTGGTTCTATAGTGCACTGAGTACTCAGTTTTTCCTAAACTATTTTACCATCATTGTTCTCACTGATTAAAACCATAGATGCAACTTTAGGGACCCCTCTAGTAGTTAAGTGTGGGGTAGGAGGACAGCAATAGAACACTGTAAATTTCAAATTAATCTCACTGGGGATGCTGCTACTATACCAATAGAATAGTGCTATCACAGCAGAAGAAAATGTGAGACCACAGCCATGTCATGTTTTTCCATGTTGAGAGTCTCCTCTACCATGTGCATGAAAGCATTTCCATAGCACATTTCCATTAGATTAGTAAGAGGCAATTCTTAATTGAATTATTCCTCCTTTGTCTCTCCTTAAGAATCCCTCCAATTTTTTTTTGGGGGGGGGGAGGTTAATTCACAATTGTTTGGCAAGCCCATATTCTTTTCCTCTCCCTTAGCTTCACTCATTATTACACTGATGATGCTCCTGACTTTATGTCTTTAGTATCTTGTAATTGTATGACTTAAGCCATATTCCTCAAATATAACTGGCAACTTAATTAATGTATCAATGCTGTCCCTCCCTCAAAAAATACTATGAAGATGATCATGTGTGCTACAGCAGTGTTTTTCAACTGGTGGTTCGTGGATCAGCACCAGTCTGCCAGCATTTCCTGCTGGTCCCCAAAAGAGCTGCTGTTGTGCATGTGCATGACAGCTACATCTCGCTAGGCAGAATCAGCGCGGGGCTGGCTGTGCTCTTGCTGCAGATTCCCCACTGCAGAGAAGGTTAGGGAGGGAAGAGGCAGCTCAGGAAGAGGCAGCTCGGGGTCATGCTGGCCCAGGTCTACCCTCTGGACAGGGATCCGAAGACCAAGCTTTTCCTTTTTCTGCTGGCAATGGAAATGCCAAGGCGGGGTTGTGCAGAGTGTTTTCTCAGCCAGTCTATGCTGGCATGTTCAGTGGCTTGAGTGGATGAGCTGCCTTGTATTTCATTATTTAACATTATGAATATAACTGTATTAAGTAACTTTCTTTGATTTTGTATTGCTCTGCTATTAATATTGTATTTGAATTTGTATTTGCTATTAGTATAGTATTACATTTAAATTGACTTTGTATTTTGCTATTGTAAATTTTTGATCAAGTATTCTTGAAAAGAAGCAACAGCAGATTTCACAGTAGCCTTGTTTGAATTAAATATTGCTTTCTAAAAATTCAGTTACTAATTACAATTAATTTCAATATTTCAATGATTTAATTCTTTTATTAGCATTTTTACTGCTCACTTTCTGGTTATTTTAGAGAATTTTTTTTTGGTATTACATTTAAAAACAAATACGCAAAATGCTCTATTAGTTATCAAGTCTTTTTATTGCTCCCTCAGCGGTTCCTGAAATAATTTTCCTATTTTTGCCAGTCCCCAACTTCAAACAGGTGGAAAACCATTGTGCTACAGTATTTCAGATGCTGTTAAAGGTCACATTTGATCACCTTTTCAAAACTTGACACAGTCAATCATGCAGTCTGACAAAAAGGTAAATGATATCAATGCTTGGACACATGCTGACATAATAACTGGAGACATGTCTATGACTGTTCTGACACTGGAACACTGTCATACAGCCAAATTGCTAGCCAGTGCTGGACAGTCTCAGGATTATGTCATTCAGGCACCCTAACACTCTATGACAAATGGGAAGCAAATCAAGAAATTGAAGTGGGAGGGTAGTGGCTGGTAAAAGTACAGCCAAGGTTGCCAGCTATAAGCCCACTATAGCACTAGTTATACATTGTTTTGTTCAATTTAGTAAGAATGTGTTTGGTGATTAGCCACCACAGAGCAGCCTTTCCACCTTACCCAACCCTAATGCTAATGCTTAATCTATCCCTATGTAATGAAAAATAATCAGTTCTTACCTTGGCCTTAGCATGCCAACTGAAATGGAGGCTGTTCGTCTCTATTGGTACTAGCAGATTAAAGGATAAAGCATAGTGATTGATAAGATCATTCCTCACGTAATAAAGTTCTGCATCAATACCTAAAATTAGGGGGAAAAGACATGAAAGGCTAAGCTTCAGGCATAGGTATGTATGAACACAGGAAAAATGTTGTGTTTAAGAAAAATATTAATATTTAGTGCCAGTTAATACTTCAAAATGCACATATATTAAGATGACAGTTCAGTCAATGTTATAAACACAAAAAGGTTGTGGAAAAGAGCAATTTTTAAGGAGACAATTTCAAACAAGACGACTTGAGCTTTTACCATAAACTATGCAAAGTGACTTTTGTAACCTGATGCCTATAAATTTCATTTGTGTTAACAACCTATAGCAACCTTAAACCTATGCCTTATCATTACAATTCTTCTTCTTCATCATCACCATCATCATCTTGGTATTAGCCATATAATGGAATAGCTGGTTTAAAAATCTAAGTCATCACAATTTAGAAGGTTTACAACTGTGTTGCAATTTATATCTTTTTGCCCAAACTGCATATTATGCTTGCAGAAATAACAACAAAGTTATCACTGGGTCAGCAATAAAGTAACTAGAAAAAATAATCAAGTGCAAAGACATTTCACCGGAAAATGAGGCAAAATCATTTACACTACTGTATAAAGGGTGGCAGAGAAGGAGGTGGCTAGATGTAGTCACTGAAGCAGTCAGTGTGAGCTTAAGTGGAATCTGGGGATGGTGGAGGACAGGGAGGCCTGCAGGAATGTTGTCCATGGGGTTGCAATGGGTCGGACAAGACTTTGCAACTAACAACAACAAATTCCTGATTACTGTCATTAGGTTGGCGCTCCTTCCCAATGAAAGCAATCACTCCAGTTGATACTACAAACGTCTTTATTCTAAACAGTATTGCAATTACAATGGAAAGTCGTCCTCTTGTTCTAAGTTCAACCCAACTTGGTTTATGAATCCGTGGTTGCCCTTCCAAGGGCAGAGCGCTGTGACCCCTCTCTTTGCATTGCTCAGTCAGTCTCAATTCTAGCTGTCCCAGTCTGCACTTGTGCCTGTGAGAACAAGCATCCTTAAAACCCGCTTGCCCCTTATCTCCTTGGTTCTCACATTCCATCTCAGCAGCTTGTGAGACTGTTTTCCCATCTACTCCCAAACTGACCTCTTCTCATGCCTCTGTTTTGACTTATCCCTAAACCTCCTTATCTGGCCCATTCTCAGCATCTATGAAATTGGGGAGAAAAGATTGTTCTGCTGACACCAGAAATAGCTCTTCATCAATACTCTGGTTCTCATGGGAAGTTCCTCCTCTTGAGCACAGGTAAGGGACTCTTCCAAGCATGCGCGCATGACAATTACTATGTACAGGTGTGAACGCTGGGCTGCAAAGAAAGCTGGCAGGAAGAACCATTTGAAACACTGTATTGCAGAAGAGCTTTGAAAATGCTATGGATTGACAGAAAGTGAACAGGTATGTTCTTGGCCAAATTAAACCAGAACATTTGCTAGAAGCAAAAAATGAAGCTGTTGTACTTAAGAAGGTAAGACTCCCTAGAGAAGACAATAATGCTAGGGAAAGCCAAAGCAAAAGCCAAAAGGGAAGATCAAATATAAAATTGATTGGTTCCATAAAGGAAGCACATAATTACAAAAGTTGAGCAGGACTAGCAAGAACAGGACATTTTGGAGATTACTCATTCATAAGGTCACCATGTCATAGTTGCCACAGTGGTAGGAATGTGCAAGGAATCTGTTTGGGGATGGGAATCTGCTGGATTCCCACAGCACCTCTTTGCTGCATGCATCACTGCTGGTAGCAGCAAACGGGGAAGAAGGTTGGTTGCCAAGAATGACAGCTGGTGTGCCCACTTGCAGCACCCCTCATCCACATCCTGTAGCCAATGCAGAAGGTTGCTGGTTGCACAACTGGGGGTCAGCAAATGTTATCAGACTTCCTCTTGGCTCAGTTCACTTGGCAGAACTGGGCCAAGCATGAGAGGAAGTCTGTGGATGCTAGAAGGACAGATTCCAAAAGGGTTTGTCCCAACTGTACCTGATGGCTCGTAACAACAACAGCAACTTTTTATTATTCTATTTTAGATTATATTTTGCTTCTCTCTGTTAAAAATACTTCTATTTTGGATAATTGTAATTTTGCTCTTGGGTGCTCTTATCATTGTACTCCGTTTCCTAAGGAGGCCACCTGTTTGATTTGCATCATAATATGGAACTCCATGCTCAGTTAAATCAATCTGAGTGCTCTCAACCTCAGCTAGGGCAGATTTATGGCTTCATGGCCCAAAATGTTCTCTCTGTAGAACACTAAGCCATGGAGTTAACTGGGTGACTTTGGGCCAGTCACAGACTTTCATCCCAACCTACCACACAGGATTGCTGTTGCAATGTTAAGACTGAGACAAGGAGAATTATGTAATATGCCTTGAGTTCCACGAAAGGAAAAAAGGCAAGATATAATTATAATAAATACATACATTAAAAATACACCAAATTTGGATCCAATCTTATGAAGCTCTGCTTCTATGCTTGTTAACAATTTGTACTGTTTTGTTATACAACACAATGCATAAGAAGCATGCGGCACTCCAGTATGAACTACGCATTTATTGGGTTAGATCCAGATCTAGTCAAAATAGGCCCAATGAAATCAATGGGACTCAAATTAGTCATAATTACCATAGTCTTGATATAACTTACTAAGGTACTTAACTTATTAAGGTAATAACATTAATACTCGTTTTTAGTAATATTTTTGTTTTAATACGTCATCGCTGCTGCTTGCTTTTCTTGCTTTGTGCATCTGTTCTCCTGTTTTGTACCTCTATTAGTTTGATTGTATGCTGCATCTGGATTTTATAGTTTTATCTTGTTATGGTTTCATAGTTTATGTTCCTGTTTCTGTGAGCCACCCAGAGAGCCCTTGAGCCATGGGGCAGCATACAAATGAAATGAATGAATGAATAAGTACATTATGCATATGTGTTCATTGCAATAGATATACTCAAATCTCCTATAGGAAAACTGTAACTATTAAATGCTTTCCTTTTTTTGTGTAGATTTTAATTCTGAAATTCACATTTAAAAAATGAAAGACAACTTGCAGAAGTACAGAGGTGTGCACTTTTATAGGTCCAAAATGGGAGGACTTGGGGGAAGGGGATACTCGCTCTCAAACTTCTCAAAACAGAGAAGTTCCAGGTAGGTTTTAAAAGAATCCAAAACAAAACTTCGATGTGAAAGCTGAAAAGACAAATTGTCAAGTCAAAGCAAAGCTACAAGTCATCTTTGCTTGCAAAAGGGGACAGCTGTCTCTACCTTTGCCCCACAATGATATCTTCAGGTCTATCTATAGGACCCAGTACCCAAAACTTTTCACCCATTCATGAGACTCCCAGTACTTGAGAAAGTAGAAAAGTGTCCCCCTTTTTGCTGGCGCTTGCTTTTGACAAGTGTCAGAAGCAGGGGTTTCTTTGAAAATAGGCATTTAGGCAGAGCAAAATAAGCAGTCCCTAAGTATCTGAACTATTTTCAGATAGAAGTATGGAGGACAAAGCTACAAGATGACAAAATCCAATAAACCAGTTAATACGGAATTAAAATACTTTGAAATAAGGCAACATATTGAACAAACATTTCCGGGAGAACTCTGCTCAGGCAATACATTTACAAAGAGTTAGAACTCCTATTTTATGACCTGGTTCACTTGCAATAAAAACCCAAGGTTTGTTTGTTCAGACATAAATAGTCCTGAACAAGCCAGCATGCTAGTTACCATAGCTCAATTACTCCTGCTTGGCTCAGTAAAATAATGCAGAGCTACTTCATTTAACACTGTTCCAACTCTTGACTTGTCAGAGAAGAGACAAGATAGCATTTCCAGTTCAGATGTCACACTAAACAACCCAGGAGAAGAACATCCTAGGGCTGATTTTCCACTATTACCTGCTGCAGGAGCAACTGAGCTACATAAACCAGCACACTGGCTCATTCAGGACAACCCCTGATTTTTTTTCAACAGGCTGTTGCATGCTATCCAATGGGTGAGCAGCTCACATTCTACACATAATACATATTAACAGATGCAAAAAATCCTCAACTCCATATCACTCTATATGGCCAGTAGCTGTAGTCAGTATCTGAAAGACAAGACGACAAAAGAACATTTCCTAGAGTTATGATTGTTCAAAGTGTATTTAGACTCTCCAACCTCTAGCAAATGAAATACAAAAATCATAAAATAATGTATTCAACTGTCTTTTAAAAACTCTTCTGGAAATCTCCTAAACAAATCTACTTAATAATTCTTTTGACTTCCAGCCCCCACTGAGTGAGCTTGTGTATAGACAGCTTAAGGCTCAGAGATCTAATTTCTTGTTACTAGATCTTACCTAACTTAAAGCAAACCACATGACAACCCCCCCATCCCCGTTTTATTGCACTTTAGCTTTTCAGAAGAAACCCTCTACTTTGCCCAGACAAACCCTAAATCACATTAACATATATCTTTGTGCTCCACATTTGGACATAAACCAGAGAGAATAAATTAAATCAAGTATAGAACAAGAGGGTAGACTTATGCAGTAGCATAGAAAGACAAGGTCATTCTTTAAAGATTTGACACAATACATTCTGAAGCACAGACAAGGAGGAGAGGCAGGGATTTTATTCTTAGCCATGACGGATGCTGAGGAACCCTTCTGTTCATTACAAAACTGGATCATGTCACTCTAGAAATCTAACAAAACAGGGCTTTTTCAAAGAACACTTACATAAAAGCAGACTAGTTTTAACTTGATGGAGAGTTTTAGAAAGTACAAAAAACCCCTCCCTCAATTAGCATGGGAAAGTGATTTTTGTTTATTTAAGAGGGGCTCTTGCAAGAACTCTAAAGGAGCAAGACAGACAAACAATAGATGGATTTCATTGTCTAAACATCTGAAAAGGTTTTGAATTACTACAAGCAATTCTAGTATTTTCATCTTCAAAGTTTAAGTAGTTTCTCAGAGTGACTTAAAATTAAGGCAATCTTTATATAACATTTTGCCTTTCA